CCTCCTCTGCGATGATAGATCTGCAAATAAGTTATGCTAATGAGCTCCTGCACCTCTTTTTCTATGAAATGACCCCTGTATAAAAGTTTCCTTGTCTAGTTCCCCTTGCAGTGAAGGTGTCTGATTCCCATTTTGCAGCTGAGAGAGCAACCTGATACAGGACACTTGTTGTGCCTGTCCCTTGGCAGGGATTCGAACTCTGGTCCAGCTCTGGGCCACATTGTCAAAATAAGGCTATGCTCATTGCTAGCCTATTCAGAGTTTTGTTTTCTGCTTTGCAAGGGGAGTGGGTCTGCTGGGGCCAAGGAATTATGATATTGCGCTCCCATGCTTTGATGTGATAATGCAAGATGTGGGAATATCAGTTCCGACCGTGACTTGCCCCCATTATCGCCACTCAGGCCTTCCCATTTGGCCACAAGCCCTTTGTAGAGGATTTGATTATAAAATCAGGTTTCCATGTGCGAACGCTCAGTTTGTCACATCAAAGGGACTCCTCTCCTCCAGACTCAATTATACCTGAGCCTAAATGAAAATGGGCCCAAGACCAAGAGACAATACACTGCCTACTTCTGCACACAGCGATGGGGGACAATGGCTTGATCCCAAAGGTAAGTTCTTTGTTGCACGCACCTACGCAAGAGCTTGTTTTCCAGACAACTCCTTGGGCGGTGACACCTTCAGTGGCTAATCAAGTTAAATATTTCCTTTTGGACACAGTCATGCCACCAACACATTAACACGGGATAGGATTTTTATCTGTTCCAGACTGCTGCTGTGCTTGACTCTTCCTGATGTTTTATTCAGCTGGTCTCTGAGCCAGTTTGGTGTAGTGGTTAAGAGTGCGGACTCTAATCTGGGAGAACCAGGTTTGATTCCCCACTCCTCCACCTGCAGCTGCTGGTGTGACTTTGGGTCAGTCACAAGTTCTCTCAGAGCTGTTCTCTCAAGAGCAGTTCTCAAGAGAGCTCTCTCAGCCCCACCTACCTCACAGGGTGTCTGTTGTGGGGAGGGGGACGGCAAAGGAGATTGTAAGCCGCTCTGAGACTCCTTCGGGTAGTGAAGGGCAGGGGTATAAATCCAATCTTCTTCTAAACCCCACTCAAGAGAAAGGAAGGGTATATATAAAAGTAAATACATTTACCAACTTTTTGAAAATTGTCTGTAGAGGTAGAGGTTTATTGTATAAAGCCATTGGCCATTACAAAAAATTGTTTCTATTGATCGTGTCTTCTGTGACCAGTACTTCTGAAAGAAGCTGAAATTTTTGCAAAGAAGAACTGCTCAGATCTCTTGCTGGGATGAGAGCTACTCTGGTCTCATATCCTGAGACAGCCACATTCTTTGGTGTAGTGATTAAGTGCACGGACTCTAATCTGGGAGAACCAGGTTTGATTCCCCACTCCTCCACTTGCACCTGGCTGGATGGCCTTGGGCAAGCCGTAGCTCTGATAAGAGCTGTCCTTGAAAAAGAGCCGTTTCTCTCAGAGCTCTCTCAGCCCCACCTACCCCACAGGGTGTCTGTTGTGGGGAGGGGAATGGAAAGGAGTTTGTAAGCTGCACTGAGACACCTTTGAGTAGTGAAGGGTGGGGTATAAATCCAATCTCCTCTTCTTGCAGGAATCTTCAGGACTGTAAAAAGAACACAACACCCAACTTGGGCCCAGACCCTGGAACATTGCGAAGATGCCCACCTCCTGGTCCGTCCATGACATTCCATTAGGAAGGGGGCAGCCACAGGGCCAGGCCAACCCGGAGACTGTCCCAAGTTCCCTCAGGAGGCCCCTCACGCTTGAAGAACCACCGATTTGCGGAATCAAACAAGACGCGAAGCAGACCGTTAGCTTAGTCGTCTTTGTAGCCGCCGCTCAAATGAAGAGGCAAATGCACTGGCATTCAAAACACACCAGCTTGCTTTTGAAGTGCATGTTCCATGCCATCCAAAGGCATAATGAGCCATCACATCATCGGCAGAGGGTTTGGCTCCCGTTACAGTGGGCCATTGTTCTTCCAGTCCGAGCACAATGCTGTTCAGTACAGTTGTTATCTAGTGACAGGGGTTTGGGTTTTTTAAAAAAAAGAATAAAACCGTAATAGACTTAGGCAACAGACTGCAAGGAGTTCATAAATATTTATTATGTTTAACAAATGCAGCAATGTAAATGATTTTTTTTAAGTGTAACAGCTGGAACTTTTTTTTTTTGGCCTGGTCTCTAATCCGAGAGGCATAAATCCCACGGGAATCCGTACACCGGCCGGTGACTAATCCGAAGACAATACATGCGGCAAAGTTAGGAGCA